GTAACTATGTCCATCTAAATAGTACAGAATGCAAAGGGAGGAAAAAAGAGACATGTCAAACACTGTCTCCACAAGATGATCAAGGTCAACATCAAGAGTAAAAAACCATGTTGATAGTATGTGTCTTTGATAATGTGATGAAAATGGCAGCTTACCCCTGTGATCTTCCTCCCAGTTTAATAATAAGAAAAATACACTAACTCCAATTGAGGGACATTCTATAAAACGCCTAATAAGCCCTCTTCAAAACTGTCAAGATCATCAAAAATAAATTCTTGGAAACTTTCTAGAGTTTTCCTGAGGTGCCTAAGACGTGATGACTGAATGTAATATGGTGTCCTGAATAGAATTCTATAAAGGAAAAGAAATTAGGTAAAACATTAAGGAACTCTGAACAAAGAATGGACTTGAGTTGATAATAATGTTGGTTTCGGTTTAGTGACTGGAACAAATAAACCAGATGAATGTAAGATGTAGGGTAAATGGGAACTCAATATTATGTTCACATTTTTGTTTTGTAAATGTACAACTATTTAAAGTAGAAATTCACTTTTTTACAAAAGCACAACAATGAAAGAGCTGAAACATGCTCTGCTTGACTTTGGCATTTGATGAAGAAAAACAAAGAAATAGAAAGAAAAATCTTTAGAAATTTGTATCATAAGCTAAGGCTAGCACTTCTTTTTCTTTCATTCATTCAGTAATGTTTCTTGTATTTCTAAGTCACCTGTGAAAGTTTTTAATGCAATAAAATGGTTTGGTCATGTTCCCAGGCAATTCTCAAAAGCAAATGCAAATCCTCTCTGGAAGAATTCAAACTTAATATTGGTCTCAAAGATGTTCCAGAAATAAAGTTCTCCCTCCAAAGGTTTCTCATAGTCAAAACCTGTATAAAACACACCAGAAAACAGAACATTTGAGTAAGACGGAAGAAAAATTGATCCAAATATTTCAGAAAATGGTTGTAAGACACAAAATAGAAAATGACTCCTATTAACACACATTAAACATTAAAAGAAAAGTTGGAAATTCTGACAAAAATAGAAATTATACAAAATGACACAGGTGATTTGCAAAATAACAATTTAATTCTTAAACTTCAAATTCAGCAAATCCTTCTGGAGTATCCGCTAATGCCAAAACATATATTAAATACTTTCATTTTTTAACTTTTATAACAGTACAAATTGCATTGATAGATACTAAAGCTGTAAAAACTTTATATAAAATTATTTTTCTTTTCCATTTAATTGGAATACTTCCTACTGATCTATTTCCCAGTTTACAAGTTACTCATCTATCTCAAATTTACCATTATACATTTGTAGTCTCACTTTTGTTATTAATAATTGTGTTAATTTTAGAATTTCTATTTGGTTTCCTGTCGAATATTTTATATTTCTTGTTCCCTGAAGATTTTTTCAGTATTATTTTTAATTTCTGTAAATGTAATATCTACATTTTATAATCATTGTCTGGTTCCAATATCCAAAATTTTTGTGGTTTCTGCATCTGTGGTTTACTGCTTCTTCTGGTTTCCTCTCATAGTGTCTTATTTCTTGGTGCTGCATGCATTCTGGTCATTGTAGTTAAGCAATTACTTTTAGGAGTAATTTGAGCCCAAGAATGATTTTATCTTCAACTGAGAAAAATTTTACCTGCTTCTTCCAAATGTCTTAATCTGCCAGTCAATATCACCTTATTCCAAATTCAACGGCTGAACTTATCCCAAATTATCTAAATGAGCAAAGCTGGCTACAAATTGGTGAGAATAGTGGTTCATTTCTAACTCACCATTTTCCTGAGGTCAAAGTGTTTGGACGTCTCAGCTTATAAACAGATTTTTATGTATTGAATCCCTACCTTAAGTGAGCCCATGCTTTGATTTTTGGTTCCTTAGTGTCACAAGACTATTATAATTTCCCCAGTTTTGCAAAGCATCAATGTCTCAGAGAAAAAAACAGCATTCAGTGGTGAGCTCACCTCTCTAGGTTCTTACCTTTTAGATTTTTGACTCAATAATTTTTCATTACCATATTAGCTAAAGATTCTAATAGAACAAGATCCCGGAAAAAGTTGACCCAAATGTCAAGAGACACCTAAGCAGACAAGTACAACTTTCTCCATTGTCCCATTAGGGACCTTTGACGGCACCGATGCCTGAGCTGTGTATTCCTGGCTCCAGGAATTAAAAATTCTGTATATAAAACTTTAGCTCATGACTGTACAAAATCTTTCTCTCTTGGTTTCCCTAATATCCAAGAGAAGATGGCATCGATAAAACTTTAAGGGTCCATAGAAAGGATAAATATGGGGATTTGTGATTGACATTTTCCTAGGAATTTGGATTTTCTGAACCTAAAATGAGACTTGGTGTGCCTAATTCCTATCATGGGTGCATGCTCACTTGGTGCCAAGGCTTCTGGCCCAGCAAAGACTAAGAGGTAAGTTTTTCCTATCTAATCTGAATGCTCATTGGAGAAACAGTTGTTACTAGAGATAACTGACAGGCCTACAGGCATGACCAATGAAAGACCTTACCCTGCCTGGCCAAGGGGTCCAATTTATACATTTCTCTTTAGATGTTCAATCTCTCTCCTAATCCAGAGAAGATTAGTGAGGGTTTTGAGATAGGATACTTTCACAGCCCCTCTCAAATCACACTCAAATAATTTAGAATCAGTTATTGTACAACCGTTCATACTTACTGAAGAGCTTTAATACATTGTCCAGGCACCCAAGTTCTCAGAGTTGTTTAATGTTATCCACCAGTCATGCATGACTGCTGACCTCTTGAACATGACCAGTATAAATTACTGAGCTATAAAGCAGATTTTTAAAACCTAGTACAAAAAAATCTTATAATTTTATCTTGACCACATGTTGAAATAATGTTTTAGATTCAATGGATTGAACATATTATTGAACTTAACTTCCTCTATTTCCATTATAGAAGTAACATGGTATAATAAGACAAAAACTTGGATTATGATCTTTATTCTTGTCATCAAGTAACATTGAGACTAGTCAAATAATTATAACTCTGGGTCTAAGTTTCTTCATATAAAATGGAAGGTGTTTGATTATGTTGCCTCTGTAGTTTCTTCCAATCTTATGATTATTTGATTATTATTGTGTTAAATATCTTTTAAAAATATTTTCCATGTATAAGATATCCTTAGTTTTTACTGTAATGCACATATAATTTTTTAACTTGTTTTTAAAAATAATATACAAATAAATTCTGTATTTCATTTAATATGAACACATTGAGTTATTTTATATAACCACACATATGTTAAAAATGCACATTCACTTTCTATTTTGCTGTTGTAAATTTCACCATGAAAATGGCTTTGTTATGGTTTTCAGTTTTTAATAGTCTGTGCTATGATTATTATTTCTTTTTCTGTAATTGGTCACTCAGCTTTTCTTTCACACATCGTCCAGTTCTTCCTCCATTTCTGTCTCCTCTATTCTCTATCAAACACTTCCGGTTGTATTTTATAGTTTGTCCTGATTTCATTGTGTCCTTCAATACTCTTTCAGGATGAAGCTCTCTGCCCACCTCTCACCAGCTCTCCTGAGAAAGCTTTCCACCTTGGTCACATTTGTCCCCTCCTTTAGATGTGGGGCCTTCCTCATCTCCTCTTTCAAAACAAATTCATTTGTAAAGATCTAATAATAGGTTCATTCACGTCAGGGTGAATTCAAGTCTTTGCAGATCCCTATTCCTGAGGAGTGCGGCTAAGAGGTGCAGGCTTTTGCATTTCAAATCTCAACGTTCATTCTGAAATGAAAATCTTTATTCCTACGAGAATGGTTTCTCGTTTTGGTTTAAATTTTAAAATCTATTCGGTATGCATCTTCTTACAGGTTTTTCAAGCCCTTCCTCACACATTCTTTCTTCTGAAAATGTGAAATCTGTAGTTACCCATGCAAGGTGACTTCCAGAGAAGTCTGCTCCGCACTAATTTTTGACAGTTTGAAGAGCACCAGCCTTGAACCTACTTGAACCAGTGGTATCCTCTAGGACAAATATTTTATTCTAAGTCTGAGTTTCCTAATCTACTGAAAGAAACTATTAATATTACTTGTTACCCTTGCCTCAGAGTATTTCTGAGCTGAAAGGAAATAATGAATGTGGTAACAAACTACACAGGGTGAATGATCTTGAGCACCTTGAAATTTCATTATAATTTTGTCCTAGTTCAGCTTACTAAATCAGGAAAAATATACTGACCCATTCAGTTTAGACAAGAATAAGGAATATGACTAAGGTTTTTCAGAACAATGGAAAGTTTTAAGGTACAGTGAAATAGTCTCTTTCTTCACCGAATAATAATATAAGGGCTGTGAATTACTAATTGGAACTACTGTCCTGAATTCAAGAAACAGCAATGGTTTTTATGAAATTTGGAAGTAACCTGAATGGAAGAATGTGAGTTTGTTTTTAAAATAGTAGCCATATTAAAGGAGCAAACTGATGTTAAATTTATGAAAGTGAGGGCAAGTGAAAGATAAGAATTAGAGATTATTTGACTGGATTATTTGAAAGGAATTTATTTTAAAATTCAACATTTCCCAAACACAAAATTCAAGTACTTGAAATTAGAGTATACATGTTTCTTTATACATAAGTATGTAAAATTTCATCTTGAGTTATCTGTGGAATCAAAGGGCTTCTCTGTGAAATCAAGAGATTCTGACATCAATTATTTTTGGAATTAAGCAGATTAGGGAAAGAATTTGGAATCAGTTCCCTTGAGTTCTGTTCCTGTTCCTCAACAGGAAGCTATTTCCTTCTCCCTGAAAGGGGCAACATAGCCTGCTCACCTCACTGGCAGTTTTCCGAGTGCCCGAGGCTCTGTCTGGGACACTGAGGTACAAATGCTGCTGTCACCACCACCAGTGACTGTGGGCTGAGCAACGCAGTTTAAAGACAACCAGCTCTTCCCAGCTGGAGGACACTTGGGCGAATAGAGAGAAAGGTACATAGCTCTCTTTACCTTACTTCTTTTTATATCATTTCAAATTTTGGCAAGAGAGCAAAGATCCAGGGGGATTTAGGGAAATCTTCGTTATCTCCCCGGGGCCGTCATTCATTTAACAGATTCTCTCTCTCTCCGGCGCTTTTCGGGTGCCTGGAAGTGGACAGTAGGACTGCACAGAGAAATGGACCCAGCACAGGGCCCGGATCTGTACGGTGAGCAGAACCAAGCGCATAACTGCTGTCAATAAGTCGCGTTCTCACGGGGCAAATTTGGGCAGGCGACGGGGCCCGCGCGAAGCTGCTCCCAAACGC